GTGGTCAGCTCATTGTGCAGAGAGGACGCGCGCCGCCCGGCGCAGCAGCGCTTTGTACCGCCTTGAGCGTCTAATTGTCGCCGCCCCGGAAAGGGATGATCCACGTTGAAATTTGAAGCGCGCTAAGCGGCCGATCGTGTGACCGGGGGCGGCCGCGGCGGGGCGGGGCGTGTTTGGGGCGGAGGGCAGGGGACTGTCACTGAGGCTGGGACCGCACAGGGAGCGATGAGCCGAGCAGGGGTCGCGGCGAGGGTCGCGGCCTCGGGCCGAAGGACGAGGTGGACGTGGTGGCGAGAGGGGGCCATACACGTCGTCGCGCACCCTGCCCTACCGCCCGCCGCGGCCTCGCGCCCGCCTCCCTCCTCGAGAGTGGTCGTGAAATTGGTCAGACTCGACACCGTCACCCTCGCCCACCCCCGGCGTGATCTGACCCACCGCAACGACCAACACCCCCGCCGCACACACGCACGCGCCACCCACGCCCACCCCACCGCCACCCCCGCGCCGCCCCACCCCGTGCAGCCAGCGGCACGCGCCCCTGCCACTTCTCCCGCTTCCTGTATCGGGGGCGTGAATGCAAAATTCCAGATTCCGGTCATTTTCCGAGAACATTTGTCGCTCTCTGGCGGCCGGTCCGCGCACTGCGCGGCGGACAGTGATTGATCGAGGCGGTTTGGCCGGTGCGGCCTCGAATGATGAATCACCACTGGCTGGCCGAGCCGAGCCGAGCCACGGAGTCCCGCCGCCGCCCTCGTTTTTAAAAGCTTTTACTCTTTTAATCTTTACCTGAACGCCGTGCGATATGATTTTCGACTCGAGTTTTCTTGGGAAACTAAGCGGGACGGCAAAGGGGGTGATTTTCTTCGCAACCATTTTTTACGTGGGAAGCTATGAGGCCCTTCCCTGCGCCGCTGCGCTCTCAGCTGCGCACACCTCGCGCGGCGCGGCTACACGGCTCGTTAGCCAGTTCGTTGGTTTCTTCGTCAAAAATCTGGCACCTGCCAAAGGTTTCCGTTGGAGAGGTGATGATCGACGATAAAGAACGGGTATCGGAAAAGTAAAGGGGAAAGAGCGAGGAGCGGGAGGGAGGGTGGGGGGGGGGGCTCTACTTCTGCTAGAGACAGTCTTGGCGACTGTCTACAAAATGAAACAAAATAAAATAAAACAGTTTACAGACTGCAAGCCCATCACAGTCGTTTCGATCCAAACTCGTCAAACGTAAAGGCACCTCCATTTCCAGGTACGCCACATGTCGAGCGGGGCGCACACGGCGCGAGTAGAGCGAGTGGGCTCAACATGAAGTCGTCCCGCCCCCTCCCCGGCCGGCGCTCACCACTCTCCTCTCCCAGACTCTTTTCACGTTTCCCTCGCCGCTCCCTCTTTATGCCCCTGGCACACAGCATCTTTCGGTCGGTTCTTTCGGGTACCTTGACGTAACGAAGATTAATACCCGAAATATGGCGAGCAGAGGAGAGGGAGACGGAGGGAGAGACTGGCGAGCGATTAATAATTGTCTGGATACCAGAGGATTGTGTGTACCGCCGCAGAGCGCGCAGAGCACCCCGTGAGGGAGAGCGGGACGGCGCGGCCCGTGTGTTGCGTCTCACTCGGTCTCACTCGCTCGCCCGGGCCCCGGCCCCGCTTGTTCATGTTCTGTGTCGCCAGACCGGCCGGTCCCCACGGGGCCAATATGTTCGGTAGACGAACGGCGGTCTGGTGGTGAAGGGCTGAGCATGGGAGGGGTAGGAGTTGCGATCAAGGCGGCGCGCAAAATAAGGCTACAAAATGCATGCATGGATTCATTCAATTCATTTCCGACGGTGGTCATTTTCTATGCGGTCCCGAGCGACAGCAGCGCAACGCGCTCTCATAAAGAGCACTCGCTCGGCCTCACCTCGGCCCTCTGCCCTGCCCAGCGCCCACCCTCTTGATGAGAGACCAACAAGAAGTTTCTGCGTAATCGCCACGACGAATCTCCCCCGCTCGTCCCGTCCGTCCGGCACGGCGGCACAGGCGGGCGTAATGCCACGCTGCCAGGTGGGTGCAGCCGAGGGCCGAGTTTGGAGGCGACGGCTGTGAAATTGCCGAACGAAATATTGGACTTGTCCCATACACAACTGAACTACGCGCCCGTGGAGGTACAGTGCGCTCACTCTCATGGTGAGCGTGCGAACGAATGGAGATAGTTCCTAGGAAGTCCACAGTACTTACAGAGCAGCACCATCCAGCGCATCCACCCATCCAACGTGGGCGGAGTTTTACTTCACTCACTAGTTTTGTGAAGTTCATACATATTTTTGTGTTTCATCACTACCCCATCATTTGTTTGTGAGCTTAGTTGAACCGCAGTAATTTTTTTGAGAATCGAATATTCCAGTTCTTAACTTACGTCATTACGTCATTGATACATTTAAACTTTCCACTGGTTTCGCTCTCCACTTGTAAAAACACGACAAAAAATGACTGATCAAAACACTATATAGCTTGAGCATAAAAAAATCATTTACGGATTATAAAATAGATGCGTAACCTTTTTATGTACGTTTTACAATTCCTAGCGAATAACTATGGTGATATCGAATGGATGCGAAGAGATGGTGTTTAGTGATAGGTTGGTACAAGTGATACAGATGAATCGATTGCCGGCTGCAGTGTTTTGTTTAGAGACGAATGTTGTTGTTTATTGTAGTTTTTGTGGTTATGAGTAGTTCTCCCTTTTACTTTTCAGACCATTATTATTAAATTTTGCGACTTGACTTGCATTATTCAACTTAGCGAGCGCTAAAATGGACATAGGGGAGTTGCTGTCATACAAGGTATGTCACTTTAATCTATATTTTGGGGGTTCAACATTCCATAGAATATTCAGCTGAAGAGCTTGATATTTTCTATCCTACCTAGTTTTCTTTCAAGTTCTGTACTAAAGCTCTTAAGAAACGTATGTTTAAATTGAATTTTTATCAAATTTTTTTCCCCATTTACCATTTTTCCAGCCTGCACCTACTCCCAAAAGATCAAATGATGCAGACAGAGATGATGATGACGAAGAAGCTGAGTATGAAAGATATCGAAAGCAACGAAGAACACATTCTAGTAGTAGTAGCTCAAGAGACAGAGAGCGTGAGCAGAAGGCTAAGCTAGAAAAAATGAAACTCGAAATCGAACAAATGTCTGCGGCAGCTAAGAAAGCAGAGGAAGAAAAGGTTCAACAAATAGTTAATAGTGTTGAAAATGCGGAGGTTTGTGATTTTGATAATAACTTTTCTAGTGATGGCTCTCATTTAAGAAGGAGAACATAGCAGCTTGTATTTTGATCTTATTCGACTTGATTACAGAGCGAAATTTTGGATGAAACTGCAATGAAACGGATGATTCTACAGTTTGAAAAGAAAACTTTGAAAAATCAAGAAATGAGAATTAAGTTTCCTGAGATGCCAGAGAAGTAAGTATTTTACACCTGTAGAGAGCTCTCTTGATTTTTATTCATTAATTATTCATGTTTCTTTTTCTTTTTTCTTTTAATTTATTAGATTTATGGAGTCAGAAGTTGAACTGAATGATTGTATTGTTGAGTTGCATGCTTTGGCAACAGTCCCAGATCTATATCCTCTGATGGTAGAACTCAATGCCGTCCCATCATTATTGGAGTTACTTTCTCATGAAAATACAGATATAGCTGTTGCTGTGGTAGATCTACTTCAGGTAATGCATTTATCCTAGTTTCATTAGGTTTTTCATATAGTTGCTGACTGTTTCAATCCTACTGTACTCTTTTGGAGGTGTAATAATTGTGTTATTGATTTGTCAAGGAATTGACCGATGTTGATATTCTACATGAAAGTAAAGATGGAGCAGATGCTTTGATGGAAGCTCTCCTATCACAACAAGTTTGCCCTTTGCTAGTTCAAAATTTGGAACGTCTTGATGATTCAGTGAAGGAGGAAAGCGATGGTATTCACAACACACTTGGTAAGGCTTTATGGCTTTTTCATCAATTTTGAATTAAGAACTACAGTCTATATTTCTACTTGCTGACTGTTTTTGCAGCTGTTTTTGAGAACATCACAGAACTGCGCCCTGAGGTGTGTGTTGATATGGCAAAGCAAGGTTTACTACAGTGGTTGATGCGGCGTTTGAGAGTAAAGGCACCATTTGATAATAACAAGCTGTATGCTAGTGAAATTTTATCCATACTTCTTCAAAACACACCTGAGAATCGTCAAATGCTTGGTGATATGGATGGAATTGATGTAATTTTACAACAACTTGCTGTAAGATATTTTAGCTCCATTGTGATGATAAACCTTCCAAACAAAGATGAACTTCTGTAATAATACTTTTCCCTTGCTGTTTGTGTTGTAGTTTTACAAGCGCCATGACCCTTCATCCAGTGAAGAGCATGAGATGATGGAAAATCTTTTTAATTGTCTGTGCTCTGCCCTGATGTATGCCCCAAATCGTGATCGGTTTCTCCGTGGAGAAGGACTCCAGCTAATGAACTTAATGCTCAGGTTAATGAAAGAAAAATATTTACCATCATAACTAATTACTGTCTTTTACATTTATCTAATCATTGAATTTTTCTTTTCTCATGAAGGGAGAAGAAGTTGTCCCGTAATGGTTCTTTAAAGGTTTTGGATCATGCTATGTCTGGTCCTGATGGGAAAGAAAACTGCAACAAATTTGTGGATATTCTTGGTTTAAGAACTATTTTCCCACTGTTCATGAAAACTCCTAAAAAAAACAGAAAACGTATTTTAACCACAGAGGAGCACGAGGAACATGTTGTGTCTATCATAGCCACAATGCTTAGAAATTGCAAGGGACCTCAAAGGCAAAGGCTTCTTAATAAATTCACAGAGAATGATCATGAAAAAGTTGATCGTCTTATGGAACTTCATTTTAAATATTTAGAAAAAGTGGAACAAGTTGATCAGCAAATTGAAGATGAACGCAGAGTAAGGTTCAGCAGTTATCTTGTTATGCACGTACACCATTATTCAAGTATGTTTACCCCTCTTTGTTACAATCTTTCAGGACCTTGGTGAAGGTGAAGATTCAGATGAAGAAGAAGGAAATTACCTTCAAAGATTAGATGGTGGACTGTTTACTTTGCAATTGGTGGATTACATCATATTAGAAGCATGCACTGGAGGTGCAGCCTCTGTTAAACAAAGAGTTCTACAAATTCTGAATCTTCGTGGAAAATCAGTGAAAACCATTCGACATGTGATGAGAGGTAAGAAATTTTGCCATCAGGTGATCTTTGCTGGTTATTTTTTAACAATGCTGGTTATTTTTTTTAACAAACATGTGACATGTTTTTGTTCAATTCTCAGAATATGCTGGAAACTTAGGTGATGCTGGTGACAAAGAGTGGCGTGATATGGAACAGCAACACATTCTCCAATTAGTGGACAAATTTTAGAGTTTGAGTCCTTTTTAAATTAGATCACTGAACCAGGATTCATTCTGTATATAACTGCATTAAAAATGTTTTTTTTTTCTTCACACATTGACCAAAGAGATCTTTTTTCCAATTTCTCACCATGAATCATAATCTGTGATTGTGTATCTAAAGATCTTCAGCAGGAGAAAAAAATTGGCAATGAACATTGTTATGTTTTTGTTTATTATATTTACTATAGATGTAATAAGACATGACATACAGAACTCAGCACAGCCAATGTGGTCAAGATTACAAAAAGAACTTGCGACGACTGGTTTCAATTTCATGTCGCCTGCCTTCACTAGTCCACTCATATTCTCCTGTTTTACTGTCAAATGTTCCATGTTGCAATGATCGTAACTTCATAGTAAAGCGTGGTCCTAATTCTCTAAGAGCAACTCTCTTGCCATTTTTGAATTCATACCTGCAGAGAACAAAATTTTTATGTCAGAAATAAATTTATCAAACCCTCAAGTGAGTATACATAACAAAAGAAACAAACAAACCTGTGGTGCCTGAAAAATATATAGTCTCTTTGATTATGGAAAGTGACCGCACGGCGACCTCTGAACTGAGGATCAAAGTGAAAGAGAGAAGCCAGCATCCGACTAACAGTTAAGCCGAGTCGAGTTGTGAAGTTATTTAGTATAACTTCAGGTTTGTGATCTGTTATTTCTCTATGATTTCTCTACGGAAGAAAAGAACTTAAATAAGTAGTGGTAAAACACAATCTTAGAAAGAATAGAAAAATGCATGAATCTTCAATAACCTTTAGTTCTGGAGTTATGCGGACATTACTCAAACGAAAGTGAGCTGTTGGACCATTTGGTAAATGTATTAGAAGTAGGCCATCTGAAAAATCAATTAAGGAACAACTCCACCAAAAAGTGGAAATATAAGATTTTGATTGGAATACTATTGTTTTAAATACTTAAAAAGCATTCACATTTTCAAATAAAGGATACTAGGCTGCTTCATGTCTTCATTAATTATGATTACATCAGTGAAACCTTCACGAATTGCACTCTGGCAGATCTTTTTGGTTCCAGAACGGTTTCGGTAAAGAGATATGGAATTTGGAATCATCCTGGTAAGTTCTCTCCCAAATATACGAGTTTTCTGAAAAGTAATAATTAAATGAAAACCATCATGTTTGTTGTTATAATTGAGGTGTGTAAATCACTTTCTTACCTTTAAAGGGTTGTCACAGTAAGTGATCAGGACTTTCGGCTCTACCTCCTGACTGAAGTAAGTGCTTAGCTCATCAAGCTCATGGTCTTTTTCTATTTCAAGCTGCTTCTCCTCAGTGATATTAACAGTTGTTTCATCAGGGACTCGTAAGGATTCAATCGTATGGGGCACTTGTTTGGGAGCCCCTTCTGCTTCACGTTTTTTCCGTAGTGCTTTTTTAGCCTGAAAATAAACATAAATATGAAGTTAATGAAATAGGAAGAGACTAAACGCATTTTTTAGCCTGAAGTCTGATTGGAAGTTGACAAAATGTTCATGAAGCATATCTATCGCAAAATGTAAAAACTAACTATGATCAAATAGCATGGTTCCACGCAATTGCAAGAAGTGTGAATTCGAACTGGATAAATACATAAAAAAACACTGATGTAAAATGTTCGAGAAACTGCAGAGGAGAAACACACAATTACCTTGTTTTTGGCCTTCTTAACCTTCGCATACTCCCGTCTTCGTACATCTTTATTTTTGATTGAGCTCACGGATTCTGCTGATCTGGTAGGTATTTTGGTTGAATCATCATTTTCTCCGTCAGATGAACTTCCAGAATCGTATTCTGGGTCATTTTTCTTTCCCATTTCAAAATAAATTCGATTTAACAAAACTAACCACAACGAACCACGTTGTTTTGATGTGACTGGATTCCGACCAGTGAAAATAATCGTTTGGCTGCCTACGTTATTTGCAGATACACCATTCGGGAGAGACAGGAGGATAGCCTGTCAGGGTTTAAGGCGGGATAATACGAATGGACCAAGACGGACTGACGCGCGACCGCCGTCACATAAGCGCGTAAACTTGGCGTCCTCATAATTGCGCATTGGCATAAGCGAAATTTACAGTAGCATGTCCTAATCCCAGTTCCATTGGTTTGTTACTTGACGTTTAGTTAACTTCTTGTAGAGGTTGAGGTCTTCCCCACATTTGAAAATGGAAGCTTTGACAGCTGATAGAGGGTCATGAAAAGTAGTAGTGTGAGTGAGAAATAATAACGGCCATATTTAACAGCACTGCATCTTGTAATTTTTATTCCAGCTAATTGTCAAATGGTGTTTATTACAAACATGGTTTAGTGCACAAATTAAAATGCAACAAATTCATCACTGAGAGTCTGGTTTGTTTTAACTGTCTTCTTATTTTTTGTCTGAATTTTTGATTGTCCTACAGCTGCAGCAATGGCATTCTTCCTCCTAAAAACTGAAAAATTTGAGCAGTTGAAAACATTTTTTAAGTTCTACATCACAATCAAAGTTGGGAGGTAAGTGGTATACAAGAAGAAGTACTTACCTTTCTTTTGCAGTCGATGCTCTTCCCACTCTTTTTGATACAAATTATACAGCTGCATTGTAGCTTTAGCATCTTCTACAGAACTGTGTTCACCGGTCTGAATAGTTACACCAAGAATTTCTTCAGCCAATTTTTTCAATGATGGTGTACGACCATTAGTAACATTTCTAAAAGGTCTAAATCTAGATGTATCTCTAACCATTTTAGGAGGATGATTTATTAATAAGACTTTCATGTCATTCCTAAGAGCATGTCCAACAAGAATTCGACCTTCCAAGATAGCTGCAACTTCTTTCTGAACTACTTCAAACTCTTCACCTCGTTTCAGGTCACTTGGACGAACACCACTCACTTTGGTACGATAGTCAGCAACTTTTTCTTTCGGTTTTACAAAACGATCATAAACGCACTCTCCATGCTGATTTACCAGTGAGACTCTCGCAAGTACACTTTCCTTTCCATCAAACACACCCACCATTTCACAATCCATAGCTATACATCTGGTTAATTCACGCTTCTGAGCTTCTGTTTTGGGGTCTAATTCTGAAATATAGGTGTCATCTGACATAAAGTCGATTGTAGGAGCTTCTTGAATTTCTGTTATTGCTTCTTTGTTGATCTTTTTGAAGCTTTGAATGTTTGAAGATTGTTTAATGCTTGCTTGTGTAACTGAACTAGACTTCTTCTTATCTGACTTTGATGCCTCTGGTAACTGTCCAGAAGCAAGAAAAGCCTGCCAGTTGCTAGACACTTCATCTTTCGATCGCTTCACATTGGCAACAAGTTTCTTCAGACTATCCTCAGGAATTCCTTTAACAGCTTGCACAGGTTTAAACTTTCTTTTTCTTTTCGACTTCAGTGGAACCACTTTCTTTGAAAGCTGTTGTGGTGTTTTACTGGCAGCAACGCTGGCACTAGTTTTGGGAGTTTTGGATTTCTTTCCCATGCTGATAATCTGTAACACACGAATTCATAACCTTATTGCACATGCCGTACATGTGTGTACACAGCACTATAAAAAAATAATTGTAAAACTTATGAATGTCATACAATGGTTTTCAATAGTTCTATTATTGACTGACAGTACTGACACACACGAATATAATAAAATCGTCGCCTCGTCAAAATAGAGGAACGTGAACGTGACCACGACCAAGCACAGACGACAACAACAATAGGCCTTGTTCGCACGTCGAATAAGATTCCGTAGAAAGGAAAGATGAGTGTGGCGCAAAGGAGAACTGTGGAACTTTTCAGAACGCGGCCGCGGGAAAACGAGAAACATAGACAAAACAGATCTGACATCTTTGAACCATAGGTTAAGAAGTTTTTAGAAGATCTGAATAACACAGTATTACTTGCATGAACTCAAGGGTCCTGTGCAGCAAAAGTATTGGTTTCATACTTTCCTGAAATGCCTTGTGAAATCATAACCCTTCAGCTTGGCCAGTGTGGAAATCAGAGTAAGTAGCCTTAACTTGGTTTATGGTGATAACAATGTTTACAGTTTAAATTGAATTCGTGATTTTACGTATCTAAATTTTTAAATAACTTAGCGGATGAACACTTCATGTAATTCATTACATGGTTTTAAAAACAAATCTCACTTGAATTGTCACCTTTTTCTTAGTATGCAAGCTTTGTAGGAGGTGTGCTCAAAGATTAGCCTAATGACTGCCATGATTCATTAATTTCTCAATGGAAACTTTTTATTAATTGCTTTGTCTTTGTTTGTCTGCTTTCAGTTGGGTTTGAATTCTGGAAACGATTATGTGCGGAACATGGCATTAGTTCAGAAGGCATTTTGGAGGATTTTGCCACAGAAGGGACAGACCGCAAAGATGTGTTCTTTTACCAGGTATCTTATGGATGGCATCGAAGAGCTGTAGATCTAAAGTGTAAATGCTTCATTCCTTTTATCAGTTATGTGAACTTATATGCACGCCGTCTGTTGATTCCAGGCTGACGATGAACACTATATTCCTCGAGCTGTGCTCCTTGATCTGGAACCTCGTGTCATTCATACCATTATGAATTCTCCGTATGCAAAGGTAAATGAAGCTGTCTAAGTGGACTTTTATTTTTTATGATAATCATATACATGTGCCATAACTTCTTCAATTTCTCTTGCGTTTTTTGTAAGCTTTACAATTCAGAGAACATCTATCTTGCCAAGCATGGAGGTGGTGCAGGTAATAACTGGGCATCAGGTCATTCTCAAGGAGAGAGATTGCAGGATGAGATTTTTGACATTATTGACAGAGAGGCTGAGGGCAGCGACAGTTTAGAGGTAATAGCATATATCATTGTTTTAAAAAACCTAAAAAATATTTTTAATACTCCAGACTTTTTAAAAATTTATTGTAATTTTTCAGGGTTTTGTACTGTGTCACTCAATTGCTGGAGGTACTGGTTCAGGTCTCGGTTCGTACCTTCTTGAGCGACTAACTGATCGATTTCCTAAGAAATTGGTTCAAACCTATAGTGTTTTTCCAAATCAGGAAGAAATAAGGTGTGAATACAGTTATCATATGATAATTTCTATTTTTATCTTATTTATTTTATTCCATTTGTATTATTTATTAAATTCATGTTTCAGTGACGTAGTTGTTCAGCCTTACAACTCTCTTCTTACTTTGAAGCGCCTAACTCAGAGTGCGGACTGTGTTGTTGTTTTAGACAATACTGCCTTGAACAGAATAGCAACAGATCGTCTCCACATTCAGAATCCATCTTTTGCCCACATAAATACTCTAGTTTCCACTATCATGTCAGTGAGCACAACAACATTAAGGTGTGTATGAAACTGGGATACTCAAAAACTATTGCTGCTGCTTAATCATGGTTTATCCGACTTAAGGGTACTACTTCTCAAATACCAAATTGCAGGTATCCCTCTTACATGAACAATGATCTGATTGGCTTAATTGCTCCTCTCATACCAACACCACGATTGCATTTCCTAATGACTGGATATACACCACTCACAACTGATCCAGAAGTAAGCATTGTACTTTATTATTTTTCTAGTGTATTCTTTGTCTTAAAAATATTTTTGAATGATTTCAGGCTACATCTGTCCGCAAAACTACTGTTTTGGATGTGATGCGAAGGCTTCTGCAGCCTAAAAATATGATGGTTTCTACAGCCATTGACAGAAATGCTGCCCATTGTTATATTTCTATCTTGAATATTATCCAAGTACGCATTGCTAAGAATCTAGCCGCCCTAAAAAGTTCTGTTTATGCTGTGGTTTTTCTCTAATCTAATCTATATATTCTAGGGTGAAGTTGATCCTACTCAAGTCCACAAGTCCCTTCAACGTATAAGGGAGCGAAAGCTGGTTCAGTTTATTCCATGGGGACCAGCTAGTATCCAAGTGGCTCTCTCACGAAAGTCTCCATATGTACAGACAGCCCACAGGGTTTCAGGATTAATGTTGGCCAACCACACAAACATTTCTTCGGTAGGTGCAATATGTATTTCTTTCCCGTTAAAATCTTGATAATGTTGCATGATTTTTACACATAAATACTTAACTTTAAAATTTAATGTATCTACTCTGATCACTCTTCTTTCTGTTCTGATCATTCAGCTGTTTGAGAGAGTGCTTCAGCAATATGATAAACTTCGTAAGCGGGAAGCATTTTTGGAACAATTCCGTAAAGAAAAAATGTTTGAAGATAACTTGGATGAACTTGATAATTCTCGAGAAGTTGTTCAAGAACTTGTAGATGAGTATAAAGCAGCAGCTCGCCCTGACTATTTAACTTGGGGTAATCGACAAGTTTAGTCTATCCACAGAACTTCTTTGCTTGTTGTAAATGTGAATCTGCTCTCTTCCATAAGCTTTACTTAAGCTTTTATTGTAGTTTCAAGTAACTGATGTGTCATACTAGTTAAGGTAGTCAAGGTACAGTTCTAATTGTAATCTGTTAGTTTTTATAGTTTTCAAATTCAATTGCTCCAGTACTCTTGCCATGTTTTTTTGTTTTACTGGGGTTTTGTACACTGTACATGTTAAGATTGTTTGAAAGTGAAATAGTGTATCCATGAAGTTAGTTTTAAATAATTCAAAGCACTTAACTGATAGTTTTAATGTTTTAATTAATTAATATTTATTTGAAAAATATTGTCATTTGCCATAATTTCAAAGTTATTTAAACTTCGCAAATGTTTGCACATCACAGTCGTCTTGCCTTAAACACATGTGTTGCTGCTCTGTGTATTATTGTATGTCTTCTTGCAAGTTCATCCAAAATTTTATCATAACCCCCACCAATTACAGCAGCACAAGGGATGCCGTTTTTTAGAACTAGTTCTAAAACATAGCGATCTCTCTTCATTAGACCTGCAAAGTTTTTTGGTAATATTATCCAAGTACTGTAATCTGAAATAAACTAGGAATCTTTATTCTATACCAATATCTGTCATCCTCAGGTACCCTAAACTGTCAGCTGCATGAGGGTCCACTCCAGCATCATAGAGAACCAGGTCAGGTTGAAATGATTTCAGCACAAATGGCAGGTGTTCCTGTAAAATACATTGCAACCATTACCAAGATCTCTGGGAAAATATCCGTTAGATTCTTATGTGTCTGCCTGATTTCATAGCTGTTTACTTGCAAAAGTTTCATGTATTCAAGGTCTCCATCTCCTTTGTTTAAGTTGACGTCCAGATCTGATTGCTGTTTTCTAAAAGGAAAATTCTGTTGGCAGTGCATTGAAAATGTGTAGACATTGTCATTGTTTTTGAAAATGAATGCTGTTCCATCGCCCTTTTGAAAAAAAGAAAGTTAAAGGAGAGAAATTATTTTCAAATATTTTAAAGAAAGCATTGAAAGACAAACTACTTAGATTCAATTTTTGACAAACCTGATGCACATCCAAATCAACAATCAGAACTCTACTTATTTTTCCAGAATCTATGAGTGTTTGAGCAGTTACAGCAAGGTCGTTTATTAAGCAAAATCCAGAACCATGATCAGGAAATGCATGATGTGTACCTCCAGCAGTGCTACAGGCTAATCCTCTCGCAAGTGCAATTTCAGCTGCAAGTAAGGTTCCACCTAAAGATGTTAAAAAAATTCAGCTGCAGTAATGTTTGTTAAATAATTAACTAAGGAAGATATTTTATTACTCTAACTACCTGTTTCATACCTGACCCTACTTGCTAGGCCTGGTGTCCATTCAAATCCAGTCACTCTTTGTTCTTCTCCTGTAGTTTTACCATTGAAAAACTTATCAACATACTCAGCTGTGTGCACACTTTGAGCACTACTTGCTGATATTTTCTCTGGTTCAACTACCTATTGAACAGAACAGAAATACGTGCAGGTCAATCTTTTTGTTAGTTTAATCAATATGTTAAGGATATCCTTTTTCTTTATACTGTGGAAATACCTGTTTTTTCTTGTCAATGATTCCATCACTCTCTAAAAAATGAAGAACTCAATGAAATTTTTGCATTGGGAACCTGTGATCCTCTGGAAGCGGACAGACATATTCCTTATGATGTATAATAGGGAGACCATGCAGCCGTTGAAGTTGTTGCTCTTGTGCTTCTGTTAACTCTGACTGGAAAAAGGAAAAGGTGTTGGACTAACCCTTTGCTTGTTGATAAAAGATGATTAGAACTTTGCCCTTAATTTGGCATTTGGAGGTTAGTCAACAAACGTGGAAAGGAGGGACAGTAACATTTTCTCACTGTAAATTTCGTTCGTTTGATGAGGTTGGCGTCTACTGTTTTCCTCAGCCCGCCCAAACCGCGCCAGCTTCTAAACAGCGTCATTGTTTGTTATTACGTGATGAGTTTAAATCATTCGCGGAGACATGTAAACATTGAATGAAGACGGTGTAGCAGACGACAGAGGAGTCCGTTCCACACTTAACGACTGAAATATATTCAGTTTCTGCACACAATGCCAAGTAAATGAGTTGGCTTGGTGATTTCAAAATGTTTTCTTCCCCTTGTTTGAATTTGCAACAATTTGCATGCAGTATCATGTCTTGAAGTCAAAATTAATGCGAAAATAAATGTCAAATCGACCAGCAGTTGTGTTAGTGATCTAGAACAGGCCCTTTGCCTTCACCTTGTACCAACATAAATAAGAAGCGAACGAGTTTTAGTGTCTTTTTAATCATATTTGTGATTATTAACGAAGGATCCTTATTTAATTTGTGAAGTTGAACTGTTCAGGTAAGTATCTTTTATTCGAGAGGAAGGTGAGATTATCACTCCGACATGTCTTAAGGTTTGTTGTGGTTGCCAGCTGATATTAGCAGACGACTGCTACCCCCACCCAACTGAGATCTGTCAATGTGGCCGATTTGTTGTTTTTATACAGGTTAACTCGACTCCGGCCTGCCAGTTGGAACAAACTCCTTCCCCGTGCTGTAGCCAGCCGACCTCTCACAACTCGCAGCGAGCCCGAGTCAACATGTGTGGTAGGTGTCCAGCTCTTCGGCGACTCAAACGCTTTAGCGTCCGCCCCTCTGTCACGGGTTATTCAACCCGATTTAGAATTATTAAGCCGTGACGGCGGTATAGAGTGACTGCGATGGTCCTCCGCCCAGTCTTTTCACACTCTTTAAGAACATCCAAGCTTTGGTGTCACTCGTGTATGGGGAAGGACATGCCAAAGCCCAGCGTGCTTAACCGGGCCATGCAAGTTTTCTTAGCATGCATAGCATAACCTAGAAATATTCGCCTTTTAAGAGCGACTCGCCAAGTTAATGGGAGGGAAAGTGATGGGGGCGTTTCTACCTCCTTGGCGTCCACTCTTAGAGGGGACTCGGTAAGCTGGCGGGAAAGTAGTACCACCCTGGCACGCGAACCTCAACGCGACCGCCCGGCCCCACTGACGCCCCAAAGGGCGCGCGCCATCGCCATGTCGTTTTCCTTCCCCCGACTCGCTTCCGCTCGCTCGAAATTCGGCGTCCGCGTCGTTGTTCCGCGCCGCGTGCCTGCCTCCGCGTCTGGTCCGCGGCGGCGCGGCCCTGGGGCCCAGTTTATATCGGGCGGGAAGCACGGGGGAAGTTCAGCTGTGCGCTGTGCTTAGCGCTGTGCGCGCCGCGGCGGCGGGCAACGCTCGGCTGGCTTTGTTTGCTCAAATTCCGAGGGCCGTTGTTAGCAAAAGTAGCGATGCGGCGCCAAAGTAAGGCAATGCAAACATCGCGACAAGCGCCTCATCCACGCCGGCTAAGGCTCCGTCACTCTGCCACTGACTTGCGTCAGACTATACTTGTTCGGGCTGCGCTGGGCGGCCACAGCCAGGCTCCCGCGAAGCACCAGCCCTTCCACCCCTACCACCCCCTCGGCGGTCCCAGCGCGTCATAGGTGTCAGAGTACTAGAGAACGGCCCTTGCGAGGTAATCACCAGAAGTCTATTCCCATGCCGCTCCTGACGTGTGCGCCGGCCGGCCCTTGAGGCCTGATGACTAACGCCAGCGTCTGCCGTGGCCGGTTGCTGGGCCCCGACCTGGGCCAAGCGCTGCAGCAGGGCTGGCTGCCTCTGGTGCCTCCCCCCGCACGGGCCGCCAGGGCCGGCAGTGCCGCCGTATCGACGTGCACGCCCACGCCGCGTCGCCCCGAGACCGTACAATCCAGGCGATAGGGTTTGTTCGCAACCTCGAGGAAGTGGAAGGCACGCGGCATAGTCTGGTGAAAGAGGAATGTCTCTCTGACGTGGACCTATCGGGGGCGCCCGAATATCCCGATAGAGCCGACTGCATCGCGCTGAGTCGACCGCCGGTCGGCCCGTGCTTATCGTCCCCCCACACCCCGCTCGACATTTCGCGGCTGCGATGCAGTTCGGCAGCAGCAGGAATGCCCGCCCCTTTCCCGACCGACGACGGATTGGCCAGACCTATTCTGGTCGTTTTTCCAGACTGCACCCAACACTCTTAGTTCCTTAAGAGTAGTCTAGTTTTCATACAGGGTGGGTGATCCGCGCCGTGGTTTTTTTCTGCGTATACTGTACCGGATTCACGCGTGCGGGCGGGCTTGCCTATCGTCGCTCGCCATGGCGCCTTATGGCCCCGTGCGAGTATGCAACCCGTCCGCACGCATGAATCCGGTACAGTATAAGCAGAAAAAACCACGGCGCGGATCACCAACCCTGTATTACAAGGGGTTCGGTTTGTAACGTACAAATGATCTGTAACCACCATACTACTTCGTATTACAAAGAGCACCAGTTTGTGAACAGACCCGTGCCCTTCGTTTTGCAAAGCCGAGCAAAGGATTTGTTTGTATTGTCAGGGTTGTCACAAAGTCAGGGAAATGTCAGAGAAAACAAAATGTGTCAGGGAAGTCAGGGAAATGTGAGTTAATTCCATTTTCCCATTCTTGTGGCAACCCTGATTATACAAAGCTTCCAAATCCTTTGTAGGTTACAAAGAGCAGTTCTTTGTGAGGAACTTGCAGTGAAGACTGTCTACTGGAAGGCAATGTGACCCATCCGTCCCCGCGCCTTAACCCTTGAGGAGGAAATCTGCGCGGTCTGCGGGACTTCTATCCACTCTCGTCCCGCATCGTGTGGCGGTTCACTTACGATAGTCTAGGTGGGGATCAGACCAGGACACAGGAGCAGATTAGCTTCAGCTGTTTATCTTGGGATTAATAAACCATGTGCCAATGGCGCTGTCGTGAAAAAATTGGTATCATTTTGTGGGATATCGATTCACAACACTCGTTGTGAACGTGGAGAGAGTATGACGCCTTCATGCTGTCCGGGCCGGCCGGCCTGGGGACACTAGAGTCCCGGCGCGCGTCATAGGCGCCAGCGGGCGCCAGGTGAGTGGCGCGGGATCGAAGCAAAGGGTCAGGCCACGGGTACTCCACTCTGCGTAGCAGCCCAAGGAGACTATTGTCTATGAGGAGGAGACCCCCTTTCGAAAGGCCAAAGGGTTTATGTGCGTTTGGCGGTGCGAGCGGCGGGCGGGGCTGCTTTAGAAAGGGGTCCTGGTTCTGACGACACCGTGTACGTGTGCGTAAGCTGCCCCTCGCCGCCGCCACCGCCGTCTGAATGTCATGAGTCAAACAGGAAAGACACGTCAGCCCGCTTGGGGTAAAAAAGACAATGAGTGGACACTCGAGGAGGGATTTTATGAGGAAGCCACCGGGTATCGCTTTTGTTTTGCTGCTATATCTTCAGCGCGTGGAGAGATGCTTAGAACTTATTAAAACAACAACATAATAGTCGGTGCTAAAAAAGCGTCCGCTGGAAATTTTTCGGCAACGTCCAATAAGTCATGAACTGGAACCCAAAGATAATGGAAGTTTGTTTTCTTCTCTGGCTGTTTGGCATGATAGTTGCCGTGGCGTTGAATAGGGTGGCCGAATTGTTCTGAGTTAATAGTGGTCAAGCAGGAAGTGGATCGCTGTACCGTCTAATCCGAGAGACCTACACCCGCCGCCCGTGCCCGCCCAACGGCTTGGCTCTGACCGGTCTGGAGCAGCCCCGCGCCCCGCCGCGCACGCCCGCAAGGCGCGCTGCCTAATCTGCCCCGCTCTGAGGGGACAGTCTCTTACTGGTCGCTTCGTTCCCTCCTACGATTTACACGCGTGCTGTGTGTGGGGACCCCATCCGGTCGATGTAAGGGGGCCGTGCAGAAAGTACGTCCATCATTCGCCGTTGCGAGCCTATCTGCCGAATCCCGCCAATGCAAGCTCTCATAGCGCCTGATAGGTTGGCAACATCTTGCATGCAGTGCATGCGTGTATCGCGGGGTGGCCTACCCCGAGTCTCGCAGGCGCTGAGCTTCCGTAATGTGCCGCCATGCGCCGGTGCCGAATGCGTCCAGGGAAGCGGACGGAATCACGCTGACTGGGAGGGGGGCTTTGCTTTGGTTCGGAGGTAGTTGAATTTTCCGACACAGTCTGACATGCCCCACTCACTGAAAAATTTCCTCGTAAAGTTAGCGACGACATTTCTTGTAATTTAGAATTACAATATAATGTTGTAGATTTACGACGGACCAGTTTTGCTCCTCGATTAATTCCAAGTCGATAGGAAGTGATTGTAATTTTACAATTTCAAGTTGTAATTTTACCATGGAAAATTTTTCCGTAAACTTACGGGTATTTTTAACTGTGCAAGTCTGCACTTGGGTGGAGGTATAGCCAGGGCCGCAAGTCACGCGTGCTTAACAGGTCTGCATCCACACTAAAATCTTAAGATTTTTTGATCATAGCTTACTGAGTTGTAAACATGCTCGGCTTACGCAGTTTTCATAAATACAAATTTCTTCATACTGGCGTATTTAAAAATGCGTAAGCCGTGTTTACAGAACTCAGTAAGCTATGAACAAAAAAGTTCATAAGATTTTAGAGTGTTCCTGCCGGGCGCTCGACCTGGCCAGGCGGGGTGGAGGTAGGCAGGCCCGCCAGCCACGCGCGCCCAACAGGCCTGCATACCTGCCAGGCGCTCCAGCGCTCGCTCGGCGCTCTGACGATTTCCCCCGCGGGCGCGACCTTGTGTACGCATAGTGGTCTTGCACTGGTGCCGAGGGCCACGCCCCACCTTGTAACTACACGTTTGTTTTTGACATGGATCACCAACCCCGCCACGCTTTGCCTGCCCCGCATTGTCACGAGTGTAACTCGGCCGCCACCCTCTATCCCTCCCTGGAGTTCCCCTCCCTGTACCTGTCTCTCCCTTCCTCTCACTGCTCGTGCTGAAAAAGAAAGACAGAAGTGGGCCCCAGTCTCGGGCCGGGCTGGAGCCAAGCTGGAGCGGACCGGTCTAATGGGGCGACTTACGTAACAGGAATAAGGGAATAAGACTGGGACCGTGCGCCACGCACGCCTTTATTAAAATCTAAAAAGAAATGCTAACCCCCCGGAGCCCGGCGCAATGCAAGAGACGAGGCAAGAGAGCAGAGTCCTAGTAGCCAGCCGAACATCTCGAAGGATTCAGCACATGTCATGTTCATAATGCTGCCCAATAAAGTCCACCCAAAAATCGCACAGTTCAAACCTGAACGTAAAGCATTGGCGCTGCTAGCTAGCTGTTTAGACCTGGTAAATTTTTCTGACCACCCGTGTGTGTGTGTGTGCCTTCTCGCAAAAGATATGCACTGCCTTCGCTACTGCCTCTATGTGACTCTTTGATGTTTAGCAAGTGCCTGTTGCAGTACAACTAAATATTTTGCTCACGTGCAGAATTGAATTGCCCTCATACCTGCCTCATAGCCGGGCATCGCTGATGTCCTGCATAATTTGTTTGATCCCCCTAGATTAAGCGACTTATTGAATTGAGATAAAGACTGAACGAGCCGCTTTAAAAAAAAAACTTCAACAGTTGGTTGGAGCTGAGATTTTTCCTGTGTGTACAGTACATTAAGTATCTCTCATACATTCTAAAGAAGAGTCCTTCCCCACTAAAATCTTCTTATGAACTTCTATATTTACAGCCTGTATTTCGATCAACGTGCTCCGCCTCCGTAATATTTAATTCGCCAGCATGAATAAATCTGGTCATACTTGCGTATCAATAAAATGCATAAGTAGAGCATAGAGCAAATTTGGAATATTATGGTAAAGAAAGATAAATAAAGAAAAGCGGGGGTCAAGGGGGCGGCAGCCCCCTTGCATCAAAATTTGGAATATTGTGGTAAAGAAAGATAAAGAAAGAAAAGCGGGGGTCAACGTTGCATTCAAATTAGGAATATTATGGTAAAGAAAATTAAAAATAAA